GCCCCCCTTTATCATCTGCAGCCCCGGGGTTCCCTGTGGTAGTGAGGCAAGCGCACCCGGAGAAATCAGATCGCAAATTGTGTAGCGGATTCGGCCAGGGCGAGCACGGCCGAGCCGGACCGAGTTTTAGTAGTTGTCCAGGGCACAACCGTGGGATATGGGGATGCTTAAAAAGTATTCGGTTTCTCACATAATACAGGTGTTGACTAATGTGCCGGCGGTGGGGTGACCCTGATGTGGTTTAAAAACTGCAACGTTCATAACAAGGTAGTGTTGCTGAGCATACTGCGTGGACATCTCGGGACGGCTAAAATCTTGCAATGTGGTTTTGTTGGGAAAACCGTTCAAAAGATGAATTGGATGCCTCGGTAACCAGCAGGCAGGCCATCAGGTGGTGCAGCATCGGTAGAACAACCGGAGAAGTCGCTAACTGTGTAGGTGGACAAGCACAGTATGGATTGTACTTGATCCGATATACCTCCTTCTGGAAAGGGGGAGTCGCTAGCACTACTCGTCATTACCCCATGCTCATTATGCGTTTTTGCCGTGCAGCGCTAGAGAGCGGCAACAGACAGCAGTGAATAGCAACGCGCACCAGATTCGCCAGTGCGATCATGCGTTTTGTGCAATTCAGCCCATCGAACGATTGCTTATCAATGATTTTCACTTCTTTGTACTTTATGCAGAAATAGTTCAAACATTCGAAAACAGTTAAAAATTTCACGCACTAGCGCATGAAAGCAGAATTCGAAACCTTGAAGGGTGAATATCTTTCCGTGATTTACGAGTTAGTAGTTTAACCGCCAAAATTTTCACGAGGCCGTAGGTGATACGAAAAAGCGCGGGAACGCTGAATTCGAATGGGCAAGGTTGAGCGTGGGCAGGGGGTCATTACCCCAAAATTTCAGCCTCCCAGACTCCGTGGTCCCCGAGATATTAACTTACCCGTAAAAAACCTGCACGGGGCCGTACGCGTTACCCGCAGGTACGGGAAGGCTGAATTTGGATGGGCAAGGTTGAGCGTTGGCAAGAGATCACTACCTTAAAATTTTAGCCTCCTAGACTCTGTGGTTCCCGAGATACTAATTTACCCGTAAGAAACTTTCACGGGGCCGTACGCGTTACGCGCGGGTACGGGGAAGCTGAATTTAAATTTGCGGGATCACACGTGGGTGGGGAACGTTCCCCTAAATCTTCAGCTTCCTAGCTTTTGTGGCTCCCGAGTTGAAAGTTGTGGACAAGTTGCTGCGGACGCGGACACACACACACACACACACACACACACACAACCCCGTGACAATATGCGTTCTGTACAAAACGCATAAAAACGCATATTGCAACGACCCTGTCAGTGTGTGTGTGTGTGTGTTCGTCTGTTCGGGTATTTCAACTCGCTAACCGCGCAAGCTTTGAAGCTGAAACTTTGCCAGTGTGTTCCTCAGCTAGGTGCCATCCCAGGACCGCGATTCAAACCCTCACACACGTCTGGGTCCCGCGTACGGGCATGTGAAGGTTTTGGCGCGAAAATCGCTAACTCGGGAACGAGAAAAGCTAGAAAGCTGAAAACTTGGGAGAATG